ACCTTTTCAAACAGTCTCCTCCTCCACCTTTTCAAACAGTCCCCTCCTCCACCTTTTCAACAGTCCCCTCCTCCACCTTTTCAAACAGTCCTCCTCCACCTTTCAAACAGTCCCCCTCCTCCACCTTTTCAAACAGTCCCCTCCTCCACCTTTTCAAACAGTCTCTCCTCCACCTTTTCAAACAGTCCTCCTCCACCTTTTCAAACAGCCCCCTCCTCCACCTTTTCAAACAGTCCCTCCTCCACCTTTTCAAACAGTCCTCCTCACCTTTTCAAACAGTCCTCCTCCACCTTTCAAACAGTCCCTCCTCCACCTTTTCAAACAGTCCCTCCTCCACCTTTCAAACAGTCCTCCTCCACCTTTTCAAACAGTCCTCCTCCACCTTTTCAAACAGTCCCCTCCTCCACCTTTTCAAACAGTCCTCCTCCACCTTTTCAAACAGTCCCCTGTGGTCTAAATGAAACATCTGTGCTGTGCTTTGGTCAAAATATAACATGAATCCAGCACCAGAGGAGGTTTGTGACCCTGTATAAACCAGCTCTCTCAGAACGATCCGTTTTGGTGTGTGTGTGTCTCTTTAAATGTAATGACCCGGCCCCCTGAGTTTTCCCCGTAGACATCACTCCTCTATAGAGAGAAAAAAAATGGCAGACCTGCGCAAAAGTTTTGCTGTAGGCTGGGGGTGGAGTCCATGGGTGGAGATACCAGGGGAGGGGAATCCCACTGTGACATCACAAGGAGAGCACATTAGAAACAGAGCTTCTCTGTGTTGTAAGACTCATGCAGACCACAAACAAAGGACTGGATGGGTTTATGTCACATGTTGTGGGTCAGTAGACTCTCAGGTTACACAATATATGTTCAGAAACACTGAAGAAGTTTTCATAATGTCCCCTTTAATACACAGAGACCAGAAGTAGATCCTTACTCACAAGAACACTAAAGAAACAAACCTGACGTCTCTAGAGACAAACATGGCCGACTTGTAAACGCTGAAGTTCCACAGCTGTTCCATCCCGTCGTCATCAGAGCTCCAGAACGTGAATCAGAGGAATCTGAAGAGAAAACCAGATTCAGTCTCCTCTCCTCCTAAAGTCACATCGGAACATTCTGTAAAGTGTTTTTGTCAGCGAGTTATGTTTGCAAAAAAGACCAAAAGATAATTCATAATAATAATAATACACGAGACTTTTCTTAATACTCAAAGAAGAACAAAACAATTCTATATATTTAGAAGAAGAAGATTTTCTTCATGCATCCTTTGAGGACCAGTTTAACTCTCTGTTATTGAGACATGCTGAAGCGGGGGTCGTTTGACCTCCTGGAGACGAAAGCAAACAGCTGACAGAGTTTGAGACTCAGCTGACGACGGACTCGAAGCTTTCTGCCTCCGACTGTCCGACAGAGAACATCATCCAACATGGAGAACAGCGACCACACATTCAACCCCAGGTACAAACCAACATGTCTCTTCTTCTGAGCTTTTCTTCATTTTTCTACAAACCTATCCTCCTCCTTTACTTCACACGTCTCGTAGTGATACATTGAGGTGCTATGGAGACTGAGAGTCCTTGCAGAGGACATTTAAAGGTTAAATTTGAGGTGAAAGTCGGCTTGGAGTGTCTTCATAAACGTGACCTACATGTTTACATACGATTGTAAAAGACAGGAGCTCTCTTTAAATTCACTTTTTGCAGCTTTTTCTTTCCTTTTCTCGACTAAATCTTTTTTTATTTTAAGGTTTTCTTCAAGGCGAAACAAAAGGAAGTATTTATGTTCTTCTCATTAAATAAAAAGTCAGAAACAAGAAGATTTCATACAATTTAATGTTTAAAAAAGAGTTTCCTGTTTCTGTGCATTGTTTGTTGCTAACAGGATTATCTGTCACTGATAAATATTTAGCCCTCCCATAGTAATGTTTACCTTAAAGAAGTCAATTTCCAGGTTCTGTTAAAGCGTTTTAATGGACTCTTGATGACATTTTTTCATCCCAACCTTTATAAAATGTGGTGAATATAGCTTTTCACTTGTAGTTTTTAGACTGTCAAACTTTTATCAGAGTGAGTACTTATTTCAACACTGTTGTTGTAGCAGCTGATGTTATTTATAGCAGGAGGCAGGACTGCAGCTGTCCCTCTCTGCGTTTCATTGGTTGACCATTTGCTGGACGTGTGTAAGTGTGTGTGTTTGTTTTAAAGACACTGTGAGGACGCAGACTTTGTTCCTACCCACGTTGTGGGGACCAACCTGCCATTTTTATTATTAATGATAATATAATTAAATGTTGATTTACACTCTGTTATTTTTAGGGACATGCATGAACAGGACCTGCGTCTGAGGGGGGGGGGGGGGGGATTGCTGCATGTGTGTGTGTGTGTGTGTGTGTGTGTGTGTGTGTGTGTGTGTGTGTGTGAGTGTGAGTGTGAGTGTGTGTGTGTGTGTGTGTGCATCTGCTTGTTTAGATGACAATGTGAGGACACAATCCTATTAACATTCTGGGGACCCAACTATTATTTTGGGAAAAACATGGGACCTCAGAAGCAATAGTCTTATTTAGTGTTAATATTTTGGGGGTTTTAAATATAGGGATCATACTCTGTATAACATTAAATTTATTTATCCAATGTGTCTTCAAACTGTTCAGACGATGGAGATTTAAAAAACAATCCTTAATAAGGACAATAATTTTCTTGTTACAGTATTTCGCTTTAAATTGAGCCATTGTGCTTCATCACGTCGATAAGCAGCATAGACGTTTAAGTTTATAGTGCATGAACTCAAGACCCATCTGGGGACAAAAACTAGGTCGAAAACAAGGACAAGAAATGTTCCTTAACAGTTTTCAAAGCAGTTTAAGTGTCTTAAAGGGAATTGTCCTTTAACAGTGAAAAAGATAAGTGTGCAAGTGTCGAGTGTATTTGTGTATGTAAATGTTAACCAGGCCTTACGGGCGCGTCCGTAGTGTTCTGTTTGTCATTATGTAAATACGTGGTTTCTGTCTCTCTCTGTGGCTGTGGACCTTTAAAGGTTTACAAACTAAATTCCCTCATCGCAGATTAAATCAATCCAAAGTTCTTTCATTTTAATGAATTAGCACACAGTATAGATGTTTTAGGTGTTTATTTGAGCAAACATTCTGGTTCAACAAGCGGTAACACTAAAGTCATAATCTGTCATGCATATTAACTAGGAGTCTTGATGTTCAAGCTAACAGCTGTTTGTTTTAATTCTCCAGTCGATCATATATTTAAAACTAGAAATGCTTTGAAGCAGATTAAGACAACAAGATTCATTTAGTTTTTGTTTTTGCTACAGAAGTGAGATCACAAACTTCCCCTTCTCAATTATTTCTGACATTTCTCACAGTCTGCGTGTGCGCCCCTCTGGCGATGAGAAAGTCATCCTCTAAGATATCATCTATAAAAATATCTGATCAGTATATTGGTGACATCACTGATTTGAATATGACATCAGGTCAACATGTCATTTCACCTCTTTAGTGAAACCATGGGATTAGTTGATAAACAGATACCTCAAAGACTTGTGACATCTTCTTTTAACTGTCAGTTGTTCATGGTGGTGATTCTAGACTCTGTTTGGGCCCTGGGCAAAAACAAAATGGAGGGGCCCCTCCACCTTAATGTGATTAATAATCAGACACCAACAAAAAAAAGTCAACATGTGAACATTCTTTTCCCAGTGTTCACATTAGTATAATTTTAAAATATTTATTAGTCAATTTATTGAACATGTTAAGAAAATACAAACACAAAATAAAAAGGAAAAAAACAAAACGAACAAACAAACTGGATCCATAGCAACAAATTAATAACTCATATAATATAGTTCAAGTTCAAAAGGGATAGGAAGTAATTAAAAACTTTTCTGGTCCTACCCCTTCTTATTTTTGCGCAATACTCACAGAAAAATAAAAATGTTTTCGTCAATCAGTGTATGATGTTAGACTTGTTGGCCCAAACAAATTAAGTTTTCATTTGTTTTGGCCAACAAAAGACAAAAAAAGTAAACATGTGAACATTCTTTTCCCAGTGTTCACATTAGTATAATTTTAAAATATAAAAATAAAGAACATTAAAAACATTTATAGTCCTTCTGTGACTTTCATTACCAAACTAAGGCTTTCATAGAATAACAGTCAGAATATGATTGTAGTACCAAATAGCGCCACAAGGTGTTGCCTCTGTTGTGTTTTGAGTTGTGATAGAGAAAGTTGTTACTTTCTGAATGTCATCTTGCATGTTTGTTAGACCGTGATCAGCTATCCTGGGACTTCTGTTAATCGCTACCTGCCGCTAGCTTCTCCACCTGTACCAGCCAGTGTGACACTCAGCAGCACAACAACCCTGAGTGCTGTCGACGGGGCCTTCTTAGGGAGGTTTCCTGCTATAAGTGCAAACTTTGCACATTTTGAGCAACTGCTGTGGTTTAAAGATTGTCAGCCATATGAGGCCCCCTACTGGCCTGGGGCCCCAAGCAGTTGCCTGTCCTGCGTTTTGACAAGCAGCGCCTCTGATTATACATAAAACACCAGTAAAACCAGTCCAAACCTGGCAGAGACTTGAACTGGACTCAAACTAGCTGTGATCTGAGCGTATCTCTATCAACTGTGTCCCAGTTGAGACCCTACTTGGACTTATGGCTCTTCAAAAACAACCTGAACTTGTTTCCATTTACTTTTTTTCGATACATTGTACAAGTTTCAATCACATTTAATGGTTATTTCCTCTGAATGGATAGAAGGACTTGACTGAGCGATGGATAATTTGGGGACTTCCTGTAAAACATGACTCAGTTTTTTATGCATCTCTTGTTTTTCCCTCTCGTAGCCTGGCAGCAGCTCTCATGAAGTTCGACCCAGAGGATGGCGAGCAGATCGTTGAGTATTTTAATACTCACGTCCTGCTGAGCAGAGAGAAAGCACGTAAGAGGAAATGCACGTGGAAAACGTAACACCACCAAGTCAATATGAAATTACAATACTATAGAATTAGATATGGTATGATGCCATAGCAAGAAAGAAGAGAGTGAAGAAACGTTTTTCAAACACTTTAATTAAAATAGAAAACAGTTGAATAATATTCCTTGTGGATGAGATGAAAACTACACGTGTGTTTTGTATGTGTTTAGTGTTGCAGGCGTCAGTCAGAGATCAGAAGAAGCTGCTGGTGGAAAACGGCAAACTGAAGAACGACATCCAACAGCTGAGAGTTCAACTTCAGGACAAACAGAGGAGACGCACAGGTTTGAACTTCTATATTCCTCAGGACGCTCAGAGACATTATGTCAAGCTTTAAGTTTAAAACTTCAAACACAACTTTCAAGACAAGAAAAACAGACTGAATGTCTAAGAATTATAGTTCTTCCTTTTCAGACATTTCCTCTCCTTCCATAAAATTTTACAACTTTTCAAAATGTCCTCCCTTTGTATCGAAAGCCTCATACACACTAATGGATTTATAAAATATGAGCGACCCCACACATGACGACCACTCGTGACAGATTTAACAGTTTTGTTCTTATAGTGTGTGGAGATCAACGAGATGACCAATTCAGCAAATCACACACTTACAGATGAATTCACCAACAACCAGAGTCTCTAATCTCAGAACTTGTTATGCGATGTAAAATGCCACTTAAGAGTTAACAAACATGACAGTCAACTGTGGTTGATTTTCTTCCCCTCTGAGCCGCTTCAGTGTCAGCTGTGGTCAGATTTAAATAACAGATTATCAGAGTGCCTTCCTTTAATCTAATAAAAACTATTAAGTCAAAGTTAGGTTTGAACAATTAGATTCACTTCCTGCGTTTATTTTCTAAAAGTCAACAACAGCAAAAGAAAAATCTGTTCTTTTTAAAATCTCTTTCAGCCAAGGCTTTGCTCGCCCCGGCTCCACCTCCTGTCGGGGCATCAGCAGCTGTTCCAACTAACCCCCCTCCTTCCTCCTCACATGATCGGAGAGATAGACAGAACAGGAGGAGGCGAGGAGAGAGGAAAGGTGAGACGATGACAGAAGGAAATATCAGACGGTAGAAAAATATAAACGAAATAGTGAAGAAAGGAGCGCCTCACTGTTTTTCTCTTTCAGCTCGTCCAAACTCTGGCGCTCTCTCTTTGGAGGCGGAGCCTTGCATAGATCCGTCACGACTGGACCTGCGGGTTGGACGGATTCTCAGCATCCGTCGCCACCGGTTGGCTGAAACAATGTCGGTCCAGGAAGTAGACGTGGGAGAAAGCACCCCCCGCACTGTCGTCAGCAAACTCGAAGAGACAACCGACTTCGAGGAGGTAACACACATAGTTACTTTCTATTTAAAGATTTTATTCTCAAATCAATACAAGTTTATATTTAAACATATAAAACACTTTTATAAAAAGATAAGATGGTAGATGGAAGAAAATTAATCACAGAAATATTCCTTTATTTAATTATTCTTACAAAGTAAAAAGACATTTTTTCTTAATTTAAAACTGTTTCTATAGTTTTTAAATTCCTTTTTGTAATTTACTCCCTTTTATAAATTTCCTTTTCATTCCTTTTCCTTTCCTTTTTCTTTACGTTCGTTCTATAAATGGATTTCTTCCGTCCTTCTGTCTTCCCTGATGTCTGTGACTTTATTTAAAGCTCTGTCTTAATAATGTGAATTATTACAGAAGTACATATCTCTCTCTCTATGCAGCTTCAGGGACGTCTAGCAGTGTTGCTATGCAACGTCAAGGCCTGTCAACTAAGGGGCGTGGTCTCCCAGGCCCGCCTCCTCTGTTGCTACTCCTCAAATGACTGCAGCGAGCTGCTGATTCCTCCTGCGGGGTCCAACCCCGGAGACAGAGTCACCTTCCTAAACTACCCAGGTAACCATGGTTACAGAATGTATCATAAATGTAATCATAAACACCATTAGACACCATCAAATGTCAGGTTATTTTGCTTAAACCAGTCTGTTGAAGAGACTTTATTTACATTTGATAACAGCATGGTGGTTTTTTCCATTTCTGTTGCCTTTGTTTTCAACTTTCTACGATTTTCTGATGTAGTAGCTTTCTAAACAACACTTAACACATGTGAATCTTTGGACAAGTCCTATAAAGTATATAAAGTAAGACACACAGGACACTGGTTCATCATGTGCTTCCAACATTTGTAAAGTATGGATTCGATTTTTTAAACTTATTTGAGCTGTTCCGAGCCAAAGGGTCAACTGGCTGCTAAGCAATCAACGTCCAGATAATTATGACCCCTCCCACCACTCTGTGTTTAGGTGAACCAGACAAAGAGCTGCAGGCCAAGCAGAGAGTTTGGGAGCTTCTCCAGCCCGACCTGCAGGTGGACAGCAGGGGTGTGGCCACCTTTAAAGGCTGCGGGTTTGAGGTGAAGGGGAAGGGTCTATGCAGGGCCCCCTCCCTCACCAACTGCATCATTAGATAGGTAAAGCCAAGACCTAATGGACATCGAAGGACTATCATTGTAAAAATGCAAGCTTCTTACCCTTAGCTAGTTGGTGGCTGATTTTGTTAGCTTACAATAGATGAAGAAAGTTACTGAAAATAATTATTTCTTTTTCATCACTGTTGTTAACAATTAAAATCTTTACAAAATAATCATCTGTTTCCTCGAGTGTTCGGAAAGTCAGCAACTACTTTAAATTCATAGAAATGTTTTTGGGATTCCATGTATCAACTGTTTTAAATCAAATATTAACCAGTAAGGTCTTTGACACATTTTGCAAATACCAGAAAAAAACATTTTAAATAGGCATACAACAAGTTGGCAACAAAGATTCCCTCAGTATTCAGATAAATGATCAGAGTGAAACCTCTGTCTGGACCGTCAGAGCTTTGTGATGGTTTCTGGCTGAGAGGCGGAGCAATTGCTCTCTCAAAGGCCGTCCTCTGATCGATGGCCAATCACAGCTGTTGTCCATGAAGAAGACTCCGCCTTCCACCTCTTCGGACAGAGATCTTAGCCAATCACTTTCCTGGGTTAGGTAGTCATGCAGTTGAAACCCCGCCTTCTTCAGATGGTCAGTAAAAGTAAGAACTAGTAACGTGTGACGGCGCCAATCTGGACCAAAAAGAGACTAAACATACACAAAACACACAAAATCACTCCAAACATTAAGAAACAATTAATTTCTGGCTGTGTGTATGTGTGTGTGTGTGTGTGTGTGTGTGTGTGTGTGTGCGTGTGTGTGTGTACCTCTGCATACTCCTTCATGTGTGTGTCCTCGTGTCTGAGGTCTGCTCTCACAACCAGGACAATAATGTGCACGCCTTCAGGGCAGAGCTGGAGCAACTTCTGTGGGCGGGGCCACCGTGGGGGTGTGTCTACCACTCTCAACAGGAGGTCCGACTCCGCCCCCTGCCTCCTGAAAAAGTTTTGATATTTTCTGCTAAGAAGCTGGCACTCTGTTGATGGGGAAATGCCAGGAATGCAGTTTCCTGTTTGGAATCCTTCTCCACCTGCAGACATTTGAATTTATTAATATTCTTCTATTTTAAGATGTTTATTTGATCACAATCTAAAAGTTACATGAGCCTGTTTCTGTCAGGAAAAGAACAACATAGATAAAGGTTAGACATGACAATAAAATGAAAGTCATGATATCGTGATAGAAGATTGATACAAAATGTAATGGTTAGGGTCTGTGTCCATTGAGCCCCTCTCTCTGGAGTTTTTTCTTAAAAGTTAACTGTGGGCGCCAAATGTGAAGATTCAAAAGGTAAAACTTTCAAACGTGTTATTTCTTTGAATCTGTACGACCACTGACCAATCAGAGCATTGCCCACAGAGCTCCTCCCACTCTGCTTGCTGCCTACCAACAGCAGGTTCAAGGACAGCACGTTCCTCTCGCCATCACCGTGACAATCAAAACCGCTGAGCACTCCGTAACATCTGTTTCCATGGCGACTTTGTTCCGTGTGGAGAGCCATCTGTTTTTCAATAAAGAATTATAGTTTATGTCATTTAGAGTTTTTGTGAGTAACACATTTTTTATGTTTTTTGTTTGTTTAATAGACCCTTTTAGGGCCGACGTCCCAATGATGTCACACTTTTAGCTGGAGGCTAAATGAATCACTGCAGTGAGCGTAGTTGGCAACAAATGAGTCTTAAAATGTTTTCTCATTGTGTTGTTGGGCGCCAGAATAGAAGGAGTAATAACAGTGATGTCTCCAAACTGAAAATCTACCTTCAACAACACGTAACATGTTGCCAACCTCATGACCTCATCTGCCATCCATACAGGACCTCTACACTCGGAGATGTTGGAGAAAAGCACGGACCATTCTCAGGGACCACAGCCAGAAACTGTTCACTCTGCAACCGTCAGGCAGACGGAGCATCAGGACAAGAACCACCAGGTTCAAGAACAGCTTCTTTCCGAGCACCAAAAGCCCCTTGAACTCCTAAACCCTAAGATCCTGCCCCCCCACCCCCCACCCCCACACACACAATATTTTTGCACACACAAGCATACTACTGCACACTGTATGCCACTGCACTACACAGATACTGTCTGAGACACTTTACTTTATTGTTATAGATATATATTCTGTACATACATATCTATATACTGTACATATATTCTTTTATTTAAACTTTTTTAAGATTTATTTTTGGGCTTTTTGTGCCTTAAATGTAGAGATAGGACAGTGGATAGAGTCGGAAATCGGGGAGAAAGAGAGAGAAGGGAATGACATGCGGGAAAGGAGCCACAGGCTGGATTCGAACCTGGGCCGCCCGCTTGGAAGACTACAGGCCTCCATACATAGTAATAATAACAATACATTTAATTTGTAACGCATTTTACATTTTTCAAAAAAATCTCAAAGTGCTACAGGAAGAAAAATAAAATAGAAATAAAAACAAATTTAATCAACTAAGCAACTAACAAAACTAAAAGCACAAGCAGAAGGCTTCATGGGTCGCGCGCACTAACCACTGAGCCACCAGCGCCCCAAACTTGTAGTGACTTGTTACTCTATCGTCTATACTATTTTTTATTTTTTGCATTGTTAAGGAGAGCTTGGAACACAAACATTTCATTGCCAGCTATGACTGCTCTGCCTGTTATGTTGTGCATTTTGACTAATAAAGATAACTTGAACTTGAACTTGAACTAACAGAGCGCGTGTGGGTAATGGTTGTTTAACGTGTTGCTGCTTCATTTCATGTGAACCCGAACAGTCACACTGATGTCAGTTGTGTAGTGAGGCTGACTTTCAGATATACGCTGTAGGCTCTCTACATACTCAGCCATGCAAGCACGGGTCACTGTCATGATGTAACTGTTTGCTCTATTGATAGTGACCCACGCCGTGTACGTGGCGGTCTTCTGTCCTCGCTGCTGGTTATTTATTATTATAACTGATTATTAAAGTATGAGACGTCTAAACAGAATTTAAATATCTTACCTGTTTTGTCGTCCCAGGAGCGGCAGATATGGACACAACCTCACCTGTGCTGATCAATAATGGATGTTTTGTGTGTGTGTGTGTGTGTTAATGAGTAACCAGTCCAGCTGACCTGCTTTCCCTCGCTCTCTTTTATTAGGTTGTAAAACTGAAGAGCATCCGTGCAGTTTAGATTTAAAGAGACATCTTATAAGAGAAGTGAGATGAATGTGTGTATGGAGGCTGAAAACAAAAGGGAAAAGTATAAAAAAAACATTTTTTAATTGAACTTTAATTACTTGTAGATACTGTTTCTCATAATTCTGAGATATCTGATAATGGTGAAAAATAAATACATAGGTTTAAGGCTGTCAGTAAGAAAGATAATCCTTTGATTCTTAAATATTTCATATTTTATCTGTGTTAAAGGAGCTCTGTCCCCTAATGTTTAAAATGGGTACTGCAGTCTAAATTCTAAACATCATAGAGAGCTGTTCCCCCCCCCCTCCTCTCTAGAGTCGATTCTCACACAGGTCACCATGTGGTGGACTCTGAAGCTTCAGTGTTTATCCAGCTCTGCATGGGTCTGTAAACCTTTCTAACCTCTCTCCATTTTTCAAAAGCATCTCCAATATTGATCCTAGTTTGAGCACGTTTCTGCTCGTGGAGCTTATTAGAAACATGCAGAGGCTTTTTAGGTCGGGTACAATCACTTCTATCTGAACCACTTCTCTTGCCCGCTTCCATTACTGCAACACCTGTTGACCTGAAAACTGCTCTCATATCTGACAAACTGAGGGGCGTCCAAAACAGCCGTGTGGGGGGGGGGGTCTTAAAAGCACCTACCTTCTCTGGTCCAAACAAATCCAGATCATTCAGGACCAGAATCTAAATTTAGAAGGAGGACATACTGGCTGCTGCATTGTTGTCAGAGAAGCCAGCACTTCAACATAGCATGTTTCCTTAATGATCAGAGAGTAAGATACCTTTATCATCTCACTGATTGGTCCTTTATCCTCAATATTTTCAAATCTTTTCATAAAATTAAAATATTGTACATATTTATTGTAAACAACTTAAATCTATATACCATTCCTCCCTGTAAAGAACATCTGATAATTCACTATCAAAGCTAAAAGCAAATTTAATTGTAATCTCCTCTGTGACTGTCCACCTCCCCTATGGACTGAGAAAAAAAACAAAAACAAGAAAAAAATGTGTAACCAGTGTTAGTTCAAGAGTCATATGTAGCTGCAGTTGTTAGCAAACACAATAAACAAACATCACTTGAGGCCTGTAAATACTTGTAATGACAGTGTTTGCTGATGTTTATAATCAGGTTTGGACATTTTTTAATTTCCCAAAAAACCTTCAGAGAATAACTTTAATGTTGACGAGAAAGAAGAGAGAATGTGTGTTCTCTCTTTCGTGGTTCGTAGCTGCTGGGCATCACTGTCCTTAGTTTGGGCATGGTTATTATAAAGATAACACACACACACACACACACACACACACACACACACACACACACACACACTCACACACACACACACTCACACTCACACTCACACACACACACACACACACACACACACACCACACACACACACTTCTTTTACATGCTCATTTCACTCTTCTATCCGTGTTCCCCAGCTTCCCGGTAACCACGTGTTGCGTATCCGTCACTACGTTATCGTCACTTTGCCATCAGTGATTCCCCGTTTCCTTGATGTCACAGTTTTTCCTTGTCGTTCTGATGATAATGTCATTTAAATGTTCAAGTTGGACAGCTTTCCACTCTCACCTTTGATTCCTAAAAGCCAAAGAATCATTTTATCAAATGTCCTCATAAGTATGGTATGGCCGGTGAAGAGGTCCTCGTTATGCTGCTTTATGTGTATGAGTGTGTGTGCAGTCTTTCATTAATAACAACGTCTTCATATCATCTTATCTTCTTATCTGTGTGGTTTCAGGATAAACTGAGAGCAGATGATGATGTTTCTCTCTGCAGCAGCCTGAGGCTCACATACTTTTCACTAAAACTTTATTGCACACGGGGAATACTGACAGAGTTGCTTCACATTGACAATGTGTGTTGACAGCATGTGTGTGCATCCAGGTGTTATCGTCAACATCCAGGTAGATCCAGGTACACTGAATAAATATTAAAATATGAATATGCAGGGTTTATTTCTGCCTCTGAAAATGGTATTTTATCACTACAACATGATATTCTCATATTTAATAGAGCAATCAGAATATATGTTCTTCTGTATGCAGTGGCGTCCTGAATTATTTATTTTTACTGTCTTGTAGACTAAATGAATATTAAGAAATAAAGAACGCAGAGTGTGTGTGAGATGATGCAGCCTTCAGCTTTTAATGACTTTAAGTATGTGATGTTGATTTTGAAATGGAGACCTTTTGAACTCTAACGTAAGACAATCTGAGGGTTTTTAATGCGTCATATCTGTAAAAATCAATCAGCGAACATACTGTCCCCTGTTTAATTCAACCGTCTGTTTTTCATTACAGGATGAAGACAGACATCACCTGCTATCCTTCTGTCGTTTAAATAGGCAAACAGTTGGAAGATCTTGGGCTGAGCTTTAACTCTGTGGTCATAAATAACTTTTATCTGCACAGATGGAATCACTTCCCTGTGTCTCTACAGGCCTGTGGGAACATCTTTTCCTCTTTGGTAATCTTATCTCAGCCCACCAGCACGGGGAATAACATTCACTGCCTGGTTTTCAGATATATGTGGTCCAAACTCATGAACGTCTCTCTCAGATACTTAATGAACTTCAACAGTTTATGAAACATGGAAGCTAGTGTAGGATGGAATCGTTATCTTTCACGGCTCGCTAACATTGTAAATGATCGGTAAGGTCTATGTCGCCAGTTAGAACTGCAAAAGAATGTAGGCAAATTTACATCCTTAAATTTAGAATGCGTTAGACAGAGGAAGAATAATTACAATAGGTGCATAATGGTATCAGGAAGTTAAAAGCGGTATGCTAGCTGATTAATCCAGCTGAAATGATACAGCTGTGGATAAGCTAGTCCATTGTGAATGCACCTGAATCATTAGTATTTAGTTATGTAAACCCCAAACCCACACACTTAAAACATGATTACCTTAGAAACAAAAGAGCAACAAATATATCTTTAAGATTACAACTCATTTTAATCATGACACAGATTATTCACACACAGTACATTATTATGTAAAGTGGCAGGAATAAAACCCAAATTAATTGCCAGAGTTACACTTAAAAACACGGGCAAATAATTACACGAGCATTCATCCAAAATATACAGCTTTAGAAAAATAACTCTTCTCACAATAACAACAGTGCAATCAAACAAACGTCCAGACAAACCTCAGGCCTCTAACTTGGGTGGGGACAGTTTCGGCTAACGAGGCTACATTTCACACTAACGGGACGTGAAAATGGATGTGACTGAGTATCTACTGACCCTAAAGAGGGGCCTACATTTGAAACAACTGTTTATAGAAAATAAATAAATCCTCTTCAAAGTTCTCTTTTGGTATGTTTGTTTAAAAGCCTTTGGGTTCTGCTAACGTGACTTTGGCTAATCTTAGGAAGTCCTTTAAAGGTTATTAGTTAAAGAAGAATTGCCTCTCTCACCTGTAAACCTGAAACCATTTTTAAGTTACAAAACTTTCAATCCATATGTTTGGTTTGCAAAAATAAAACTTTAAATAGAATATTGCACTTTTCTTTAAATTTTAAGCTAACGTGATTCTTCATTTGACAAATAAATAAACTGTGGCCCACTGAGAATCCTTCTACTGTCACTTTATTCTGAGCGAATGGGGTACCCTGATGATGTTACTACATTTATTTTAGGGAAAAAAACATCATATCAAATATAAAGTTTTTTATTTCAAGAATTTGGGCTGTAAAAGCCTCCGTTTTAGGCTGACGTGAGTTTGGCTAATGTTAGCAGGTCTTTAAATGGTTGATAGCCTAAGAACTGTCACTCTAACATCTAAAGCTTAAAGCATTTCCCCCATCAGTTACATCATTTTTAATCCAAACTTTAGTTTTCCTGAAATCCAACTGGACAAAGAATTTACATGTACAAGTTAAATTTAAGCTAACGCAATTCTGAGGCTAGCTAACAGTGCTATTTCGTGCCTTTTTATAATGATGTTGGCTTGAAATTGAGCTCTTTACTCAATCTCCATCTGTGCTATATCAATGGATGTCTGTTTTGTGAGCATGTACAGCCATCATTGCACTTCAGGACGTTAAAATATCGGATTAAACTGAGCGAGATTGAGCCCCTAAATTAGAAATCACTTGATGGAAATCATTGAAACCATCTCCACCTCTTCACTCTGTGAGCAGGTTTTGTTTGATACCTCTTCACTCTGTGAGCAGGTTTTGTTTGATACCTCTTCACTCTGTGAGCAGGTTTTGTTTGATACCTCTTCACTCTGTGAGCAGGTTTTGTTTGATACCTCTTCACTCTATGTGAGCAGGTTTTGTTTGACATTTAGGGGGATTTCTAAAGTGTGTTTTTTTGAACTAACAACCCATGAATGAATCTCTTGAGGCCATTGTAACAGTCATGAATCAGGTTTTCAATATTAATGCTGTTTGTGTAAGTGGAGTCAAACCGGATTTCAAAGTGGTTTCTGCCCGTCTAGACGCAGAGGAGGAAACCAGATCTGAACCACAAAGAGTTTCACATCCCGCTGAGTTTGTGTGTGAATGCAGCCTGACAGGAAGTTCATTAGCATTGAGATAGTGGGAGAGTTTGGAGGAGGAGGTTTATCCACCCCTCCCTCCGTTCATCCCAGCTTTCTTCTTCTTTGGTTTCTGCCTCTCGTTACCTGCAGGTCGGTCATAGGCAGAGAGAGGGGATGCTTCTTTCTTCCCGTCCCATTTGTCCGTCCTTCGTTAGTTTTTCTGGCACACGTGAAGTCTCGTCTTCGACACTTCTGACGACGACTTTGAAGCCAGCAGAGAAGTGTGGGGGGAGGAGTGGCGGGACGAGGCTGAAAATTTGGATTTTGCTGCAGCGAGGAGTGACGAAGATGCAGACGGCGCTGAAGGCTGGACGCCGGGCTCTCGCAGGGTTCGGCAGCTGAGTCCG